CCTTTGGAAAAATCGTATCGAAATGGTTTCACAAATTGTTAAAAGGAACTATAAAAAGTTAGGAAGGCCTGGCCGAGATGTTTGTGGCCAGGTTTGTTACAAACAAGTTGCAGCCACAAAAGGTAGACTCCCTGCTGGCTTTAAACATTAATGAGGGTGAAAGCCTCAGGGCTTACACCGAATGGTATTATGAGGTGTTCAACTAAATACCAGTATACAACCAGGAGCTGGCGGTAATATCTTTAAAAAATGGCCTGGAGGATGAATGCCCATTTCGAAAATCACTGGAAAAAACTCTACCAAAAAGCATGGAGGAGCTAATGGCATGGATCGAGAAGTATGCCAGAGCAGAAGAGGACACGCTAGGGATGAAGGCACCAAAACAGGAGAAGAGAAATGGCTCGTCGAAGCGAGACCGAGGTAACACTGGTTCTAATAGGCAGGAAACAGGGTTGAGGGCTGCACAGGCAGTCACCACTGTATTCAGGATCCCGATCTACAAAGTTCTGGAAATGATCAGAAACCAATCGTATTATAGAGTACCAGAGAAGATCCCTGGTGAGTTTATGGAAAGGAGCCTTGGGAAGCATTGTGTTTACCATAATGAAGATGGGCACTTGACTCAAGGATATAGGGCTCTAAAGACACACTTAGAGGATCTGGTCAGACATGGTCACTTAAGAGACCTAGCAGATGAAGCCAGAACAAAGGAAGAGCAAGTAAGGCAACCCGAGGCACTGGCAGCACCACCTTTACCACCGCCACCACAACAAGCAGATGGACCTTGGGTGATCAATGTGGTTCACTCAAAGGTCAATAAAAATGATGTGCGTGGGAAAACTCAGAGGGTAAGTCACCTACAGCATGTGTACCAGGTCCAGCAAAAGAAGCTTAAGACAAATGAGTACTATGGTCCAGTTGTTTCTTTTACTGAGGCAGATCTGGATATGGTGCAACATCCACACAATGATGCCCTGGTGATAATGCTGCAGATTGGAAAGTGCCAAGTGAGGTGCATACTGGTTGATCAAGGCAGTTCTTGTGACATCATGTATGTTAGATGTTACAAGGAGTTTGGCCTTCACCTAGATAACCTAGAACAATCCAACAGCCTGATGGTTGGATTCAACAGAACACCAACATGGCCTCTAGGAGCTACGAATTTGGAGGTGTAGACAGGTACGAAGAAGGTAAACATGGAGTTTACAGTGATTGATAACCCCCTCCCCTTACAATGTTATTTTGGGATGACCGTGGTAACACGCAATGAGGGCTGTTCCCTCAACGTTGCACTAGCTGTTGCGATTCCCAACGGAGCATGCAATTGAGGAGGTTAGAGGGATCAAGTGTAGGCAAAAAATTGCGCCACAGTAGCAATGAAGTCCACCTGCAATGTGCGAGAAGTAGAGACAGTTGAAATTGAAGACGAGGACATGGAGGTCCTAAATGAAGTCAGAAAAGAACTAGTCGACAAGAATGAGGAGGCTTTGAAGAAGATTCTCGTCCAGGAAGATGATGGGGAGCTCTTCTTCCTTCTCGGCTTAGGCTTAGCCGAGGAGCAGAAAAGAGAGTTAGAAGCTTTCTTGCGAGCAAACATAGAAGTGTTTGCCTGGACGCCTTATGAGATGCCTAGCATCGAGTCCAAGGTCACTTGCTACATGCTCAATGTAGACAGGTCGACTAAACCTGTCATCCAGCGAGCAAGAAGGTCGGCATTAGTACATGTGGAAGCAGTTGAGTAGAAAGTGGATAAGTTGTTGGAAGCCCAGGCCATCTGAGAAGTACAATATCCAACCTAGTTGTCTAACACAGTGGTAGTGCAAAAGAAGAACGACAAGTGGAGGGTCTGTGTGAACTTCACCATCCTAAATAAAGCTTGCCCCAAAGACAGTTTTCCACTGCCTAAGATTGATCAGTTAGTAAATGCCACTTCAGCGCATGAGAGGATGAGTTTCTTAGACGAATACCGAGGCTATCATCATATAGCAATGTATGTCCCAGATGAAAAGAATACGGCATTCATCACCTCAAAAGGACTCCATTGTTACAAGGTAATGCCTTCCGAGTTAAAAATGCAAGAGTAACCTACCAGTGGTTAGTGACCAAGATGTTTAAACACCTAATTAAGAACTGTAACAACCCCGTCCTCTAATTAACGTTAATTCATAATTAAATAAGCCTAATCAGTATTTAAGGTGAAATCCTGAATTAATTGCATGTGTGTGTTGCGTTAATGTGCTTACATCTGTTTATCATAGAAATACATATTTCTGTTTCTGTTTCTATTTCGTTCTACGAATTGAAAGCCTTATCGGCATCTAATTACGAAATTGACTTGATTTATGTGTTATTTAGGATTTTTGAAAAATTATGGTACGTTTAATTAAAATTTGGTTCGAAACGATTAAATTAGAATAATTTAATGTCCAATTGATTAGTTGATTAACAATTTAATTAAACCATTAGTCAAGCCTATATGAGGCTCCCATATGTGTCTTCACTCATTCTTTTCTTCATCTCAACACATTTTTGAGCTCACACACAAACCAAACGTGAGAGAGAGAGAGAGAGAGAGGAGAAGTTTGAGCTCAAATTAAGAAGATTGCTAGCGAACTTAGAAACTTGGCTTGGAAGCCCCAACAATTGATCATCTAGAGCATCATTGACAAGCCTAGGTAAGAATTCAACCTTTAGATTGTACAATTATGAGGTGTAAGACATGAACTCTAGAGAATGATGATGGATAATGTAAGAATTAAGTTAGAAATGAAGAGAATTGAACCATGTCATGCATGCATGCATATATCATAGCATTTTGAGTTTGAATTTCACTCAAGTCATACATGCATGTGTCCTTCTTGACTTGGTTTTCAGAATCCACCACATTTCTTATGTTTTGACCTTAATTGATCATGTTTTTGGAGAGTCTAAGTTCATATCAATTCATGCATGTTATCTTCAAGTTATGTTCTTTGAGCTTCAAGCTTGGTTTTGTATAATTGACTTATCTTTGGGCCTTGATTTTGTGAATTGATTTTGAATTCAAGCTGTTTTGTATGTTCACACTAGTTTGTTTCAATTTTTGGCCCAAAGGATCATGAATTTTAGTTTAGAATTGGAGTTTTGAGCTTGGGAGAAAATCTGGAAATTCCAGAATTCTGCTTCTACGCTCGAGTGACCACTCTGAGTGTGTGCACTTCCATTCAAGTGACCTAAAGTTGGCTCGAGTGTGAAATGCATGCTCCCAGAAGTTTACCATTTTTGTAGACCGCTAGAGCGACAAGGGTTGCACTTGAGCGAGGACCTAAGTCTCACGCTCGAGCGACCTTCAAGTGTCTGTCAAGCGTGAAAACCACACAACCAGTACTTTTGCAGAAGTTTACAGACCGCTCGAGCGACAGAAGTTGCGCTTGAGCAGCTACTCATGTTTTGAATGTCCGCTCGAGTAAAGGATGTTGCGCTCGAGCGGGACCCCTGTTTTCAGCAATCTTTGTTAAGTGTTTCCAAGTACATTTTAGCATCCTCTCTACATCCTAGGCATTCCTAAGCCAAGGTTAAGACATAATAATGAGGACAAGAAGTACAAACACATCAAGATAAGAAAGAATTAAGATAATGATTCCGAGTGTGTAATTTAATAAGTGTTCGTTCTGTAACTGTGTAGGTCACGCGCCATAAGGCGTCTGATTTTTCATTCTATTTGTTTGCTTTGGAGCCATCTGTGAGTAATAACTTAGTAAAGCTATGTTCAACTCTAATTATTTTCTATATGAGGAAATAAGATCTATTCTATGAAATGTTATGTTTTGTATAATGAATGATTGTCCAAATTCTGATAAGTATTCAGGGCTTAAGTAAGCTATCTGTACCCGGTCCGAAGGTTCCTTTATGGAACTGACAAGTTATCAGTACCCAGCTAGAGGTTCCTTTATGAAATGACAAGTTATCCGTACCCGGTTTGCAGGTTACGTTATGGAACTAACAAGTTATCCGTACCCGGCCGGAGGTTCCTTTATGGAACTAACAAGTATGATCTTTGATGCCCCGTATATGATCTGTTAGCGCTAATGGATGTAAGATTAAATATGTGTTCTAATTTCTATCATTGACTTGAACATGAATAAATATATAAATCTGTTTCTGATATGAACTCTGATTTCTAAATATGTTATGGACATTATTCATCAAACCTTTTACTTTCTTATTATTCACTAGGCTTTCACTCACCATTTATATTTATGTTTGTAGGTGAGCAGGCGTATGACCAGGCCTAAGTTCTGCCTGGCGAGTTTTGGAGTCAACCAGCCATCGTACCTCCCGTAGAGGTTCCCTTTTAAGATCTGATCAAGTTTTTGAGTCTATGGGACTTTTGTACTTTTTGATGTTTATGTTTTGTCTGAACATGTTTTGGAAGTTTTGTATATGTGGCCTTAGTGACGTAAGACTAATGTATTTATTACGTCATATATAAGCTTGTTAAAAAGATTTCTGTCTCATATACATTAACACAACTTTATGGACAATGTATATTTCTATATTTGCTTCCGCAGTCCCTTATTATATGTCATTCTATAAAGAGACCTTTGGTAATCTAAGGATTATTGGCCAGTTATGACGCTAAACCTATAAGGGTGGGTTTAGGTTGTAACAGAGTGGTATCAGAGCACATGTTCTACCACACACACGAGTCCATATGAGCTTAGGATGTCCTAGTAAGAAGTAGGGGCATTCCATCTGCATGTGTGAGTGAGTGTGTTCTTTAAATGTGAAGACTGAATTTGACCATGACCCCATGAAATTGAAATGAATGACTTGACTATTGAAAATAAAGACTATTTGCCTATGTTTATGGTGCTCTGTTTACCAATAGCAAATGGAAAATACAAGAAGCGATGGAACAACTAAATCATCTTAGGCTCGAATGAGACGAATGGAACAAATGCTTATAGCTCTGATAGAAGCACTAATACAGCAACAGAGGCAATAACCTATACCCCTCCGCCTCTACCAGCATAAAATGAGCCGGATAACAATGATGTAATCAACCTAACTTAGAAATTTATGAAGATGAAGCCGCCAACTTTCTTGGGTGGCATTGAACCCTTAAAAGTAGAAACCTGGTTGCTCAAAATGGAGAAACTATTTGAAGTGTTTCCTTACTCCGAAACACAGTAAGTTCTTTTGGCCACCTACACGTTAAAAGATGAAGCCCGGAGATGGTGGTTATTGGTCCGAACTAACAATGGGAACATGACGTGGGCACAGTTTAATGAGATTTTCTACAACAAGTATGCAGACACCCTATTTTTGACCAACCTTAAGACTCAGACGTCATCGATTGAGCGCTCAGTGATAGTGCATGTTTGTGCTCGTTTCAAGTTTTCAGAGTTTTTCGCTAAGTGCCTTGCCTCCGGGCCTCTGAACTCTTTTTGTTTTGGCTCGGTTTATGGACCAAGCCTTGTTGATGTGATGACCCAGAATTCTTCCCTCCGCTCGAGCGGACTTTTAGGGTTCTCAGCAATTTTGCAGACTACCCGAGATTCTGAGAGTGGTAGATTTCTGCTCGAGCGTAGAAGTGGACGCTCGAGCGGATGTCTTTGTTCGTCTGAGTGCTCGAGCGCAAGGTGGGGCGCTCGAGCGGGTCGCCTGGTGAGCTTGAATTTTGAGGCACGTGGGGTCGTCTGAGGCATTTTTATTAATGTATTTGGAACCTCGTTATTTTATTTTGGGGTCTTGATTGTGGTGGTAATATGATGGTAGAGTAAGATTGGATCAAAAACTTTAGTTTGAATATTTTGTCTACGATCAGCCGTCACTCTTTTGCCCTTTTCTTTTTCCACACTTTAAATTTGGATGTGAGGTTGGAACCATTGGAAATCTTATTTTCGGGGCTTCAATTTGAGCACAAGAACGGCTTAAAACGGAGTCCGGATGGGAGAGTTATGCCTATTTGAAGTTTTGACATCTGTGCTGAATGCATGTACGCTCGAGCGTGAAGATGTGCGCTCGAGCGGGTTTTTCGGACCAGCAGCTTTAAAAACGGGACTTTGGATCATTTTAGATGTTTTTCTTCTTTCCTCTTCCTTCCTCTCTTCCATGTCCGAAACCCTAGCCCCCAAACCCTTGAATTCCTTTACTTTGATCACGATCCACCATGGTTTTTGGCATCAAGGAT